ATAATACTCGGGATAAAGCTATGATAAAATACGTTAAAGCAATTACAAATAAACATCAAGTATACCAATTTAGAGGCAATTTAAAATAGATTATAAACCTTTTTAGAAGGTTTGAGTTGAAACATAATATGAAGAGGTCTGTTATTGTCGGTGGGATCAGTTGCTGTCATAACTGCTGCAAATAAATCCTCGAATAACTGCATAGTTTCCTCATCGAGATTCGTTGAACTTTCTGAAGTATCTTCTGCGTCATCTTGTCGCGTCGTTACTTTACGCGCCTAAACATGAATAAATGAACAATCTCACTATATTTTTGCATTGCATATATGTGCAACAAACTAAAACTCAATTAAATCATGAAACATTACCAATCTGCCAACTTTTAGAATGAGTTTTCCTTTGGGTTCTGGTTCTTCATATTCTTCCATGATACGGTTTTTAGTATTTATACACAATTCCCACAGTTCAGTTGCATCTTTATACTCAGGAGATGTACGCTATAAAAATTATTATACATAACAAGATTTCAACTCTACAGGCCTCCTTTTTATTCCTATACTATATTGTATTAAAACTTTGTTTCTAGCATTTATCGAATATCAAACACATATCTATTTTACTTTAAATTCAACAATATACATCCTAATTCACAGTTACAGAAAATAGATCTTAGGAATAATTATCAATAATCGTATTACACTGAAAAATAAATCAATTAAAAGAAATAAACCTATTTTTAGACTTAGCTTAAATATTTCAAGCAGATCTAGCTTAAAAATATTTCCAATAGATCTTAGATCTTAAATATTTCACAGTAAATTTATATATCTAATTCTGTAAACTGCATGCTGAAATCTTTTCACTTTGACAGACTTTAATATCTGTTTGAATAGATTGATACAATTAAGTAGAATTTAGGAACTTACCATGTAGAAAGCTTTGGCATTGTTTACCATAAGCTGAATATCAGCAGCAAGATCATCCATATCGCGATATTCATCAGTTTTCAGTTTCTGTTGTACTTTCAACAGATCTATGGGATTGGAAACGACCTCATAATATCCTGGCTCCTGTCTACGTTTCGGCACGCGTATAAACGCGTCACACAGCAGGGATCCATCTTCCTTCTTTTGATTACGAAGTATTTCATACAGTTGTTGGCACAAATCGCTCTGTACAAGGTAAAAGGCTATTAGCAATGTATGTTCAACGTATACCACATACGCAATCTATGTACAAGTAGGAGAGATCACAGTGTAGAAAGAAAGTGTTCGCACACACTCACAGGATCCAGTTTTTTCCTCCTCTTCGTTGGCTCAGGCGGGGTATCGTCACCGTCGTCCTCGGTGCCACGACTCGCCACCGAGGACGTTCTACGTCGCTTATTCATCCTGAGGTATATCTTAAAAAGTTACAAGGTACAAGATGATCCTTTAGCTGTATATCTATAACAGAGCGCTGCTACATCGTCCACCAAATGCTGTCGAGATCGCGATGCGAGGGCTGTTACAGTTATCGTTGGTAGAGCACAAAATTTGTAAACAAATGTACGTGCGCACACATACATTCACATACGTGTGCGCGTATATGTACATAAAAAGGGTTCTTGAACTAAACGCGGGGGCCTTATTCGTCGTATCGTCGCGCCGCTATTATCAGAGGCACACGTTGAGCTTATCGCGACGTACGGTGGGCCAGGTCTTAGGGACGAGGTTGCAGGATTTGTCTCTCACACGCGTTCAGAGATCGACGTCTCGGCTCGTGCGTTAGTTAACTATTGCGAATGAATTCCTCGAGAAGCGGGACGTCACGTATACACACAGGGGGAGGGGGAAGGATGGCGAAAGAGAGAGAGACAGAGCCACACACATACGGACTGGCAGCTAAAAAAAATCACGCCGCCATGATAAGTCGCCACTGCGCTTCAAAACGCGGTCGACGTGTACAGCGCGGTCGACGTGGTGATTTTAAACGCGCCGTGAACAACGCATTTTCCGTCTTCTCTCAGTCGCTGTCGCCATCGATTATCAACCGTACCGCGGCCAAAAGCGTGCAAACGGACTGGGACGCATTCACGCATTTCATGCGTCTCCCCTCTCTCTTTCGTCCTCGCCCGGCATCGCTGCATTCCAACCGAAATTTGCCGCCATATCCGGAATGCGCGAGTCCGTGGCAGTCCGCATCGTCCCCACGGAATTCCAAGCTCGACGAGCCAACAGCTATCCCAGATTCCGCTCGAGGTATCTCGACTACCCACCAGTTTATGCCACCGTATCTCTTTCTCTTTCTTTCCTTGCCCCCTCCCCTCTTCCGGACTCTCACCTGTCTCCTCGTGCCCTTATGAGAGGAGTTTCATTAATGCGCGAGACATTTGTATGCGCGAATATTCCTTGGAAAAGGCGCAAAACACCGCGCTTCTCATCCACGTTCCAGGATGACACACGTCTTGGCCGACGCCATGCTGCGAGCGACCGACAATTTCGCTGATTGTACAATAAAGGCCCTGCCGACCACTCGATACGTGGATCTTAGAGTTTCCTGTTTGTTCGACGGACTCCGTCTTTATCAGCTGTACGTTTTTTTACGATTCGATTAAAGAGACCCGCGGATAATGGAAGAACATTAACGACTGTTGATATACTATGGGTATGATCAATGTGATGCTACAAATACTTTAAAGCGTTTTTTTTTTATTAGTCAACTTGTAAAATTCTTTCTTCTGATTGGTCCATCAAATGCCTCAAAACATTTCTAGCGAGACTTTGATCAACAGCCTCAATCTATTGACTGATAATGCAAACATCGGATTATTATCAAAGTTGAACGAAATTATGTTTAAGTACATGGTATATTTGCATATTGTTGTTTACGTGAGTTTACACAAATTTCTTTATGTAGACTATAAGCAATGTAATTAAAATATGAAAATTATTATAAATTGGATAATATAATACAGAAAGAAGCAATATTTATAAAGTTTTATATATGTTAATATACACAGTGACTGGCAAAAAAAGAGACCATTATAATATTATAAGTTTTTATTTCAAAAAATTGTAAAAAATGAAAAGAACTTGAAATAATTTAGCTCAGACAGTTTGTTATTAATAAATTTTTTATATTTATAACAGATTTTACTTTATCTTGTTTAAATTAATTCATATTTAATTTTTTTTAATGTTTTACTTAATACTAGGACAAAAAACAGACCATCTTTATGTTTTATTAATAAAATTTGAAAAAAATTAGAAAAAGCAAAAAAATACATTTTAATATTTAATATGATTTTCTTTCGCTTTGATTACCAATTAGCGCTATTCGGAATAACGTAGAATGACACTGGCCTAGTTTTCACTGAAGGTTTAAACTGGATCAGAATGTAAGAATCAACAAACTACAGTCAAGCATTCCCCTGTCGTTCAATTGTAAACAGGAAAATACTCAATTGTAGTTAGTTGGTTCTTACATTCTGATCAGATTTAGATCCTTGATGGAAACTAGGCCATTGATTGGTTGCTTTTATGACGCATTCTTTATTTCGCAGTCGTTTACCGCACTGTGTGATTTCGCCCTTAGAATGCAGTCCCATGGAGTGCATCGCGGATTGCCAATCACAGAATCATTCTCTTACATCTGCTTGCAAAATTTGCAATGTTTTACTATAAAATTAAATCAAATTTTTTCGGAGACGCTATATTGTGTAGACTGTTATATTTGTATTCTCGTAATAAAGTATGCATTTGTGTACATATATTATTAAATTACAACTTCACATTTAATTACAATTTTTATGCAGTATATTATTTTTTCATACATAATTATTCAATTACAATTTTCATATAGTATTTAATTAATATTATTTTTAGTTTACTTATTACTGTTTAATATTATTATTATTATTAATATGTGAATATTATCTTTATATAAGGAGCTCGTTAACATTATTCTATTATATAATTCTGATTTAAAAATATACTCGCTATAAACAATTTGTATGACACGATCAAATTGTCTTTTTTTTTTTAGAAAATTTATTCTATAGTTTTATGAAAACTCAAATTTATAAGCGCCTTTCCAATCCACAACATAGCGGCGAGTCATGTGACTTGGGACCCACTACATCAAAGGTGCCGACGCTCAGTGTCTGCACTATATATACTTATACTATGATTTGGGCCACAGGAGGTATAGGCAAGACTCCCTTTATGTCTATATACTCTAAGGGCGTGTTCTCATCTTGACGGAAAAGCAGAAAGCGGAAAAGCAGTGGCCAATCAGAACTCGCGCTGGTAGTAAGTAGTACACAAAGCCGAAATTGTAGACTACTAACTAGAGTATATATTAGCCGTAATCGTATGTTATATGCCGTAATCTTTTTATACCGTATGGCGTAAATCATTTCGACGCGAAATGTTTTGCGTTTCACAGTTGTCATCTTGAACCTTATTGGCAACGCAAAGCAAAAGTAGACGTGGTTTGATCGAACTGCACACAACGACTGCGTTCCATTTAACGCTCACAACACTCGTGGAATCATTTTATTCTTGTCGTTTATCAAATGTTAAACAAAAAATGTTACGCTCGCGAGCGTTAAGTTAGTTCCGTTAGAACGCAGCCAACATATAATCTTTCCAAGCGATAACCCGATATTAAACATACTGCGAGTGAGTGTGGAAGTGTAAATGAAAATGTGAATGTAAAAAATTTTTGTTATATTGAAATATATGTTTATATATTGTTACTGAAAAGTGAAGATAATGATTTGATAACATCTTTCTACTACGTGCAATATGGGCGCACCAAATGAATTAGCATATCAATGTTAGTTTCCACGATACCAAAACTAACTAAACGGCAAAATGGAACAAGATCGAATTACTTACTAATCAAATATATTTATTTATAACTTACAATCTAACTACTATTGTTGGCAAACAATTTATCTTTATTTTATTATACATTACTAAGTCATTAATATACATTATTTTTAACAGTATTATTTAAAAGCGTATATTTCTTTTATACATCTTGATGTTCTTCTTATCTTTGAAGTTGTCCGATGCGCGTAAGTATTTGCGGGAACGATCGAGATTCTGCTGAACAGCACAGCCAACTCGTTCGTTCACATCAAACGTCACAGATGCCTCATTGAAAAATTGAACTGGTAAACGCCACGTTAGTTTATGTTTTGTTCTTTTTGCGACGCGTGTTTTCCTGCGTCTCTGTTCGAAGGCAGCAATTCCTCTCCACGTCAAAGAAACTGTCGCAGCGTATCGGAGAGATCGGTTGTCTAGCATGCTAAATATCATGCCAGAAATTTCAGTAGGTAATTTCTTTATTACATCTACTGTTGTTACGGTAAAGAAACCGGAAACAAACCCAAATATTCTCCTGAAAGCTTCCATCGTGCGACTGCAAAATGGAGACTGACTTTCTCGGCGGTTGAGGAATACTTATATAGATCTTCCACCACCCTTCTTTTACCCTCTCCACATTTATGTCCCCACCATTCCCCCCCCCCCACCTCTCTCAGTGTCGAATCCTGCGTGAACCTTTGACTATATAACATGGACTGCTAGCAGCAATTTCAAACTGAATGTCAAGATATGTCGCGCCATTATCAACTAATTAAGAAATACGTGAACTAACGTCACAGCTAGTAATCAGTGCTCAGGCATATCAGAGCTGATTTTAGACGTATTATCCATTAAACATGCACGTGCAAATCTTTATTGCGAAAGCATTAAGAAATAACTGCGTTATTTATAATTTTAACTCGCATAGTCGTGAAGTTCCACATACATTTATAATGATGTATTTCCGATGTTGTTAATATGACGTGGCTGTGACAAACCCATGTTTATGATGATAGGACGTCAAATTCGTTAAAAATATCCAATTAATTTCGTTAAATAGATGATCCTTTGTGACATAATACATATTTGATACAAATTTATTTTTTGTGGGTCTGTGTAATTAACTGTAATTATACAAATGTTGCCATATGAATTTTTAGATTGTATTGTTGGTCATTGCATAGTTCGTCATAGAATTAATGACAAACATCGATAAAACAAACTAATGTATCCTTCTGCCACCTACATAAACTTTTTTACTTCTATTTAATCCTAGCTGTACACACTTATTTTTTGCATCCTTGATACATACATTGGAACCCCATCTATATTTGTTACCGTAATTTCTGTAAAAATGTATATTATATATTTCAATTAATTTTTTTCCAATCGATGGGGAATTGATTATAAGGAACAAGTCCATAATATGTAAAAGTCGATAGAGTTAAGGAACTTCGAGATATATAGATTCAAAGAAAAGAAATTTTTTAATGCGAAAAAAATCTCAATTTGGAGAGTTGCGCTGGGATCTCGTGGACCTCAAATATGGGTAGCTATTTAATATGTACAATATGTTATCTAATGATTAAGTATTATTACGAAAAAGAAAAAAACTGCTAATGCAGTAGCATGTATATCAGGATACTAATTTATACGAAAATCAATCAACACACAGATTATTCTCTCTCGATGATTTATTGAGAAAATTGTGTTTATAAAATAATAACTTTGGTAAGATCATTAGAAGAATTTCATATATTAAGTTTTTCTCCTTCTCACACGTTAAATCTTTCATGACAAATGAAACTGATCGCTGGAAAAACATAATGGAAATTTGCGCTTAAATTAATTATGCAAAACACACACACACACACACACACACACACACACACACA